CAGTGCTTTGTGACTTTAGCCTGAGGGCATCTAGTCTAAATGCTGGGTACAAAAATTACTTGGGTTACCTCTTTTTCCCCTCTTCTTCTATCCATATAGTTTTAATAAACCCCTATATGTTTAACTTCTAAATCTCATTTCTGACCTTGTCACACCTGTCTTTTCAAGCCCAGAGCCTCTCAGGGGCATCAGTGCAGATGAATTTCCTTCTTGGTTTTCTCTGTGAGTCATCTAGGGCTAGGCTGAGGCCTCCTTCTCCCTGCTTCATGAGTATTACTCCTCCATCCTTTTGCCAGCTTTAGAAATGTGTTCACTCATGGTTTCCTCTTATTCTCTTTGTGTCTAAGGACTTATTCCTTTTAAAAGAGTCCTTTGCTATCACTTTAGTGGAATCATGGGAGGGAGAGGCGTTAGCATGTATTCCCAGTCTGCTATCTTCAACCAGACACCCGAGTGCTTTACAGTCAGACAGTCGTAGATTTAAAAATTGCGAGACAATGGCAAGCTCCTTGACCTGTCCAAGACTTAGTTTCCTCATCTATGCCATGGGAGTAAGAAGCCCGACATCACATAGATTTGGTGAGGACAGAAGGAGACCATATATGTGAAGTGGCTAGTACAGTGCTGGGCACTGTGCTCAGTAAATGACAGCTGTCATTGTTGCCTGGATGCAGCTCCTGCTGATTTGGCCATTTAATTTTGCACTTATTCATCCAGGGCCTACTTGGTGCTGGACATATCCAAAGTCCCTGAGTCTAAAAGGGGCAGGGAAGTCAAAACTCCCACTGAGGTCATCCTAGGAATCAATCCCAGAGCTGGCAGTGTTTTTGGCAGGAAGCTCCTTCTCCTCACTTCGCTTCCCTTTGTCCCAGGATATGCTTTTTTCCTGGGACTTTTAAACTTCTTCCCTGGCCTTGGGTCAAATGATCTGTCAGGAGAGCCTCCCCAAGCTGTGTGCCAGTGAACCTCCTTGGGCCCATGGCTTTTTTGCTGAGGACATATGATTGTCTCCAATGGGAATGAGTGATGAGCCGAAGATTTTGGTACAGCGAGGCCAAATCCCTGTGTGGCTCCAGGAACAAGGATAAATATAGCCTGAGTAATTGCTCATGCTCTTTTAAGGATTAAAAGTTAGCTTTCAGGCAAGCTGTGAAGCTCCATGACCAGGACAGCAAGGGACACGGTTCCTTTTTTAGAGCTGTGGTCAGTACTCTTTGCGCATTACTAGGTCCCAGGCCTCCATGACGCTATTCCCGCTAGAGTAAGAGGTTGCCTTCACTAGTCTATGTACCATGAGGGTCGGGACGAGTCTGAGGATGGTTCTTAGGTGTCCCTACCACATCCGCATTGTCCAACACTATGTCCAGCACACTAAAGGTGCTCATTTTTTGAATGAATGAATGAATGAGCTGTGAGGAGGTTATATTTAAGAAATAACCTTTAGAGTAAGATTTGTAGCATAGTTAACAGTGATATACCAATGCCAATTTCCTAGTTTTGATGTTGTATTATAGCAATATGATATGTTACTATTGGGCGAAGCTGGGTGAAGGGTACATGGAACTCATTGTACTATTCTTGCAACTTCCTGTGAATCTGTAATTATTTCAAAATTAAAAGTTAAAAAAAATTACCTTTAGTCAGGCTCATGCCAACACACTTCAACTCTTGGAGGAAGCAGTGCTGGAAGGTGAATTGATTCAAAACCTGTTTACAGCACTGCTTTTGTTTTATTATTATTTGTAAATTTAAACACATGACTCACTCATATGGTTCAAAATTTTAAATATATAAGAAAGTTTACAGTAGGTAGTGTTTGCCCCAGCCACTTAATTCCCCTTCCCATAGGCATTTAATGTTAATGTTATTCATTTCTAGTGCTAATTTTAGTGAGATTGTACCTACACACATATGTATCTGTGAGTGTGTATGCATGAATAGAAGTATATTTATATACATACCCATTGTCACTGAGTCAATTCTGACTTATAGCAACCGTGTAAGACAGAGTAGAACTGCCCCATAATGACATCCAAGGCTTAGTCTTTATGGAAGCAGACTGCCACATCTTTCTCCCATGGAGCCACAGGTGGGTTCGAACCTCTGACCTTTCAATCAGCATACGAGTGCTTTAACCACTGCACCACAGTGCTCCTTATTTGTATATATATAAAAGTGTATTTCTTTTTTCACTCAAATGGTAGCATTTGATAGACTCTGTTCTGTTATTTAACTTTTTTCATTTAACAACATTTCTTGGAGGCTTTTCCTATCAGCACCCAAAGTGCTTCCTCATCCACTGTTATGGCTGTACCCCATCCTTTTTTATGGCCCCCAGTTGATGGACATTTATGTTGTTCCCAATCCTTTTGCTTTTATAAACAAACCTGCAATGAGTAATCTTGTTCATTTGTCATTTCCCAAGTGTGCGAGTGTGTTTGTAGAATAAATTCCTAGAAGTGGAATTGGGTCAAAGGATATGAGCTTTATAATCTTGATAGTGCCAAATTGTCCTCTATAGAGCTTGTTCTGTTTTATGCACCCACCAACAATGTGTTTTAATGAAATTCTGTGTTAACTCGGTGATTTAAGAAAAATTATTTTGGTGACCCCTTTGTGAGTCTGACAAAAGTTGTGTGCCTCTCTCAGAGAGAAACAAAAATCATACAGTGTTTTCCTCACAAGTTCAGACAGCTCAGAGACCAATCCCACCCCAAGGCCATCCATGGAATTCAGTTTAGTAAACTCTGGCTGAAGAGGAGGCACTTTGTCAATGTACCTAAATTCACATCTATGCTGCAGCACTGACCTTCTGTGGAAGGAACATCAGGCAGGACATTTGATCTCTTGGAGCCTCAGTTTCCTTTTTGAAGGAAAAGTATAATAATTCTATTCATATAAGGCACTTTTGAGGATACATACATGCTTTTATGTAAAGCATCTAATACAGTGCTTGGAAGATAGTAGGTTCTTGATATATGGTTTTTTTGTACACACACACACATATACACACAAAGACATATATTCACTCACAAGCACACATAGCCCTAGGTTCTCTTCCAGCCTCTGTTTTCCAGTTGTCCCCATAATAACTGCTGCTGATTTCTCAAGATCAACCTTTGGAGAACATTTCTCAAAGTAGCGACCGCAGAGCTACTGCCTAAGAATCCGAAGTCCTTGATTAAAATGCAGATTCCCAGCTGCCACTTCAGATTCATGAATTAGAATTTCTGAGAGATGGGTCCAGGGAGCTTTGTACTCCTGGATTCTAATGCACACTGAAGTTGGAGAAACAACACTAAAGAGTTTGGTAAATTCCTTCTAGTCCCTAGACTGCAATTTTCTTAATTACCATTATGTAGCTTTATCGGTGACTGTCTGTAGCCAGCAGACGGATAGGTGTGGACACCTGAGAGAAAGCGTGACTAATACCTAGGACAACCTCCTCAAGTTTCAACTATAAAAAATACAAGTATTTATTAATATAACAGACAGCATGCACTCTACTCCCTCAAGAATCTCTCATGACAAGCAGTGATTTTGCCTCTCCTGCTCTCCGGTTAAGAATCAATGGTCTTTGAGTATATGTAACAGGTTACATGTAGAACCATTTTAAACCAAGTTGTACAGTGGGTCATTTATTCAATAGATATTTATTAAGTACCAACTGTGTGCCAGGCACTCTTTTAGGTACTGGGGACCCAGCAGTGAATGAAACAAATACAAATCCCTGCCCTCATGAAGCCTGCATTCTAGCTTACGTTTGAGTAAACATTAGAGTGTGGTACAAGTATGTCCCATGCAACCTTTTTTTTTTTTTTTTTTTTTTGTATAAGTGTGTCCCAAATGGAGCCCTGGTGACACAGTGGGTAAGACCTCAGGCTGCTAACCAAAATGTTGGCAGTTCAAATCCACCAGTTGCTTCTCGGAAACCCTATGGGGCAGTTCTACTCTCTCCAAAGGGTTGCTATGAGTTGGAATCGACTCAGTGACAATGGGTTTTTTTTTTTCTTATGTCATAAATATTGCATGGAATATACTTATCCTAAAAAGGTATTTATTGTTTATTTGAAATTCAAATTTAACGGGGCACCCTATACTTTATCTGGCACTCTGTCCAGGGCTGCTCTGTACAGCCTCTAACCCCAGAGGGTGGCTGGAGTCCCATGTGGCTTGCCCTGAGCCTGGAGCTCTATGATCTTGGTCTCAGGTGGGCACTGTACCTGAGGTGGGTGAGGAACAAGTATGGACAGAGTGTGGACTGGCAGGAGAGAGGCAGCCCTCCCTCACCTGTGTCTGGGCAGCGGCTGGAAGCACCTAAGAGATGAAGAGATGCTGGCACAATGCTACGCACTTCAGTGTTATCTCATTTAATCCTTTTACCAGTCCTATGAGTTAAGTATTATCACTGTTATTTCCACTATCTAAATGAGGAGACTGAGGCTCTGCAGTGTTAAGACCACAGACTGTTAAGTGGAGGAGAGGAGTTGCAGTGCCTGGGGCCACTGCCAGGTCTTGGATGAGTTGAATCTTCCAGGCCCTTCCCTCTGGTAATACCAAAGGTTTAAGGTGGGAGCAGCCCCCCACCCCCACCCCAGCTCCCTGGGGGCAGGAAATGTTCCCAGTTTCTCCTGGCACTGGGCCAGGGTCCTGTCCAGGTACATATGCTTGCTGGAGATTCCAGGCTGGGAACTGGATCTGCAGTCTTTTTCATCCCCGCCTGGCCAGGGACAGTGACCATCAGCATGAGCTGCTGCCAATGGGCACTACCATCTGCCATATGGGTGCCCATGGGAGAGACTCAGGGCAAGTTGCTGTATCGAAGGCCCAGCCTCCCCTGAGCCCTGAGGCCAGTCAGGTTGGCTTCCCCTGACCAGAGGGGGCTCCCCGAGGAACTTGCTGCTCTAAGTCCCAGCCCCTCTCGAGGAGGCGGGCAGCCGAGGCTCAACAGCCAGAGAGAGGCTTCTCAGCTCCAGAGCCAGATGTAACATTGACCTTAAATGGTAAAAGCTCCCCAGAGTGAAGAGAGGCTGGCCAGAGGAGGAAAGGGGAATAACTCAGTTTTAGGTAAGTACTGGCTATATCGGAGAATAACCTGCCTCTTCAGTGGGGAAGCAGACGGAACCCTTCTCCTTAAAGGTACAGGGTGCTGGGATAGGGGTGCTTAACTTTAACTTTCCAGGGGAGTTGGCTTTGTTGGGTGGCATTCCAGTTGGAGTATTTTTATTACTGCTGTTTTAATTTTTAAGTGAGAAGTGAATCTTGTCAGTCTTAACTAAATCATGCTCCTTTTGCTAGCTGTTGGGAAGCATGCACAGGTTAGGGTGAAAATGTGGATTATGACTGGAGATCCCCACTCCCAGCTTTCCTGTGATCCCCTTTGGGGCAAAAGAGGGGTCTCCAGAATACTTAGTTTTCTCCCTACTGCCTGCTACCCCTTTCCCAGCCTTTCTCTGTGCTCACTCTGTGTCTGTCTCTGTCCCCATCTGCCCGCTACCTTGAACCCTGTCCCGGCCCATTCTTGTCTCCATCCTTGATTCTGCCCCTGCCTGTCCTGTGTTCTGGGTGCAGCCCCTATTTTTATTTCTGTCCCCATCTCTCCTTCTGTCTCCAGCTTTGCCAGCCTGTGCCCTTTTCCTGCTCTCTAGAGGGGGTGCATTGGCCCTGGCCTGTGCCCTAAGCCCTGCTCACCTTCAGAGGCTCTGTGTCGAAGCTCTTTCCAGAGTGAACTGCACTCAGGTTGGCCTTCAAATGAAAGGCCCGTGGAAGACACAGGCCAGAGAGAGGCACCAGCTGTCTTGCTTCCTCCTGCCTAGTAAACAGTTGTAAAAGCCCAGAGAGGCTCTGAAGTTTGAGTAAACAGCAGCACAGAGTCTGGGACCCCTGGCCAATGCCCCAGCCCCTAAGAGCTCAGCAGCTGCTGTTCTTAACACTCTTGGGGCAGCTCATTGGGGAAAATAATGCAGTCCCAGGGCTTGCCTGAGTCTCTTGCAGGAAAAAGGAGGAAGCTGCCTAGGACTGTCAGGCTTGGGGAGAATTAGGGAGTCAGGACCTGTTAAGAATTGTGTTGCCTCAACCAGGGCAGAAAAGCAGAGGCTCCTTGATCCTTATGACATGCGGTAAGGCAGGTAGAGCTACACCCACCTCTCACTTAAGGAGGAGGAAGCTCAGGTTAAATGACTTGCCTAAGGTCAGAAGGAGCAAGCTAGAACTTGAACCCAGGTCTGTATGACTCTGACTGCAGTGCTCCTGCTCCTCAACACAGCTTCGAGTGTGAGGTTACATGCCTGCCTTGAATAGCATCTTGTGATTTTTAACCAAACGGACAATACAGTTGTCATGTTTGTTTGTTCCATGGTTCAGTGATATGTGTGTGTGTGTGTGTATGTGTGTGCATATGTATTAAGGGTGACTTTTTGTATTCACAGCTGTTGTACCTTCCTCTGTGCTTGGTAGTAAGTTGGGCATTTATTGGAAGAGAAATTTCCTGCACACTTACCCGCTAAAATCATCTAGGAGGTATAACTATGTGCTAATTGTGACAACATGATCAATTGTCACCATACACGTGTTTTCTGGGGGGAAAAAAGCAAACTCTTATGTAGTTCTTACTATGTGTCAGATATTGTTCTAAGCACTTAATATATAGTAACTCACTCACTACTGTACTACCCTATAAAACAAGGATTATTATTACCACCCAAATTTGTAGATGGGGACATCTTAGCACAGAGTGGTCACACAGCTGGTGAAAGGAAGAGCTAGCATTTCACCTCGAGTAGCCCATCTTTGGAGTCTTTTACCTTAACCACCAGACTCTGCTCATGTCCAGTCAGTACCATTTCTGAGAGGACAGTGGGGAGAAACACAAACTGTTCCAACACTGTGTGCCTAAGGCTCTCTGTACGTGATGTGCTCCATACAGCAATCCTATAAAGGATGTATCTTCAGCTCAGTTTTACAGGTAAGGACACCAGGATTTGGGCACATTAAATGACTTGCCCAAAGTCACCCAGCCACCAACTGACAGAGCAGGGAATTTAAATAGCGTCTAGGGTGAGGACAGTTAGGGGTGTGTAACACCTTCTGCTTGAACCTAAATTCCCAGGAGGGCCAATGGGCTCACAGTTGCAACATGGAGAGTTCCATGAGTCGCTGTGAGAGGAAGCCAGGTTCCTTGCCTGGTAGTCTGAATCACACATAATAGGAATCCTCAGCTTCCCAAACAATCCCTGCCTCTTTTCTCTAAACCTTGGTAATGGAGATGGATAGATGTACCCCACACTCCAGCACAAGTAGAGACTGAGCCCTGGAGGCCAGGGACCTCATCTCATTCCTCAATGTGTGTCCAGTGCCCAGCATGATGCAGGGAGTGCAGTAAATGCTCAGGATTATTTTGAATGAATAAATGGACGTGATGTTTATAAAATGTGTTCTGGTTAAACGAGGCCCTGGGTTTATTATATATGTGTATCTGATGATCAGATTCTTCCAGTACGACTTGAAAGGATTCAAGGTGAGGATCTCAAGTTCTCCATCCCGTCCCCACCCCACTGCTTCTCCTGGGTAGGCCCACAGAGTCACTGGGCTGCCCCTCAGCTGTCCTCTCTGTGGTTTGGCAGTCAGCAGAGGAATCCTGTTGGGAGCAGGAGGAGCAGAGGCCTGGAAAGATGGGAGGAGAGAGCTTGGAGTCCTCCCAGACTCTGCCCCTGCCCCTTGGGGAGTTATTTGAGTCAGGGGAGAGAGATGGAGAAGTGGTTCTCATGTAGTGTATCTAAAATATACATATATGTAATATGCATGTAATGTATATATGCATATGTGTATGTAATGTACATGCATGTAGTGTATGCAGTACATGTAAAAGGAAAGGAAATTAATACTAATTGAGCTCCTACCTTGAACCAGGATCTGTGCTAGATGCGTTATTTAATTTAATCCTCATGTTAGAGATAAGGAGCCTTGGTGGCACACTGGTTAAGACCTCAGCAGCTAACCAAAAGGTCAGCTGTTTGAATCCACCAGCTGCTCCTTGGAAACCCTATGGGGTAGTTCTCCTCTGTCCTATAGGGTCGCTATGAGTTGGAATTGACTCGATGGCAACAGGTTTGGTGTGGTTAGAGATGAGGACACAGCTGCTCAATGAGGTGAGGCAACATGCCCAAAGGCATACAGCTGGTAAGTGTGTGTTCCATCTCTGGCCACCTCAGTTCAAAGTTAGTGTTTACTATATTAGATGCCACGCTGCCTCTAGTTACTAACCCAGGTCCAAGGGTCACAGTCCAAATGGTGGGAAAGTCAAGAAAAGAGAATTCTGAGTTTGTCCCGTGGACCTTAGAGGTCAGATCCAGAGTTCAGGCAAGAGCCCAAGGCAGCCTCACTGGATGCGTCCTTCAGACGCAGAGTCTTAGCAGGGGCAACACGTGCCTTCTTCACCAGGGCCTTCTCCTGGGGAGAAGGAAAGTGGGAATCAGTCAGCCAGTCAGAAAATCTTCCCTCCCAGCTGGCCACATGTAAGAAACAGTTTACTGAAGCTGAGATTAATCCACTTTGGTTACTTTTTCCTATTAATTTTGTTTTTCTTGTGGTAAAATATACACAACACAAAATTTGCCATTTTAACCATTTTCAAGTGTATAATCCAGTGGCATTAATCACACTCACAGTGTTGTACAACCATCACCACCACTTGTTTCCATACTGTTTCATCACCTCAAACAGAAACTTTGTTCCTATTAAACACTAACTCCTCATTCTCCTCCTCCCCCAGCCCATGGTAACCACCAGTGTACTTTCTGTCTCTGTGCCTTTGTCTATTCTAGATATCTCATGTAAATGGGATCACATAATATTTGTCCTTTTGTGTCTGGCTTATTTCACTTAGCATAATGTTTTCAAGGTTCATCCATTCAGCATGTATCAAAACTTCATTTCTTTTTATGGTAGAATAAAATTCCACTGTATGTATATACTACATTTGGTTTATTCATTTGTCTGTTCATGGACCTTTAGGTTGTTTCCACCTTTGGCTATTGGAAACAATGCTGCAATGAACATTGGTGTGAAAGTTTCCTATTAATTTTTAATTTATAATTTTTACTCACTTTATTCTGGTAATAAAAGCAATGTACATTTCTTGTTAAAATTTCTTGGAAAATATAGAAATGAATATAAATAAGAAAATACAGAAGTAAATATAAAGAAATAAAAATTCCTACATAATTCCATCACTCAGAGATAAGTATTGTTGATATTATGGTATGTTTCTTTCTTGTCTTTGTATTTCTCTATATTTTATAAAACTAGAGTCTTATTATGCTATGATTTTATAGTCTGCTTTTTTTTTTTTAACTGAAAATTCTATCAGGATCCTTTTGTTGTTGTTAAGTGCCTTCGAGTTGGTTCTGACTCACAGTAACCCTATATGCAACACAACAAAACACTGCCCAGTCCTGCGCCATCCTTTTACATATCATGAAATATACTTCAAAATTATGATTTTTTTCAATGGTAATGTAATATAGAATCGTTTTAGTCATAATACAGTTTACTCATTGCTCCTTTTGGTGGTCATCTGCAAATTTTTTTCCGAGAACTCTCTCAGTGGCACACACCACGGATGGCTTTTCCATATATTTATGGTGTTTGAAAGCTCAGCTGTCAGAGCTGGGCTTGTGAGATGTTTCCCAAGATGTGAGCTTATTCTGCAAGATGATTTTAAGTACAATACTAACTCTGCCTTAAGCACATGAAATCATATCATGAGAACGTTATTCTCCTTTTAAATTCTTTTCAGTCCTTTCTGACCAAAGAGAAAGCTTCCATGTGAAGTAGGATGACAACTGTGCTGGTTTCCCTGGGAATGAGGAGTGCCACAGGACTCCGGTGCTAAAACTGGGCGGTCCTGGGCAAACCGAGATGAGTTGGTTACCTTAGTTTGTGCCGAGTGTGTCTTTAGCAGCTTTCTGACACTTGCTTGTCTCCCTTTTTGACAAAACGAGAGCAGGCCTTGGGCATGGAGCCCTTGGCAGGCAACAGCTAGAATTTAATAACTGTTTTCGTTTCAT